GAGTTTGAAGCTCAAGCTATTTGATTATTTCCTGCCACTGAAGATCGTTGTTGGATGTAGAGAACTCTGATAGTTCGGTAGGAAAGAGATGAAACGGAAGCAACAGAGAGTTGAGGAGGCTTAAATGGATTGTCAAGTATGATAGGAAAGACAAATGGCTTCTTTCAGGTGGTAGAGAAGGGGGAGAAGTCATTATCTCTTTTGTTTTTTTCTTTGAAATAATTGTCTCTTTTGGTTTTCAATGATAAATACTTACAAACCCTACTTCAACCACCTTATATTTTGGTTCCTGAAAACAATTAAGCTCACTGCTCCAATCCTTAAATAAACTTTTAACCATAACTCTCTTTCTCATGTCATTAAGGCCCCCCACGTTCCACAAGATAATTATGCGTGGCCATAGCGTGGAAATTGTTGACCATCCAACTGTGCCGATGTTGAAGTTATGTTGATCCTCTGGTTATGGAACCTAATGTATGGGTTAATGGACATTTTTGGTCCAAACATGAGGATCTTCTAGATGTTATAGATATTCTGATTTGTTAGTAGTGAGAATTTATATTTCGTACATGGGTGGCGCCCCTTTGGTGCCTTGTCTATAGCACACCTCTTTTTCTGTGAAAATAATAGATATAGATTGGCAGGTCTTAGTTAATATATTGCTTTCATTATGGATTCTCTGGCATATGTATATGAACTATCTCACATGACATGTGTTCTCAATTTACTCTCTGTTATAGATGTGGATTTTTGACACAAGTGATGGTGATCCTCGTCTTTTACGATTCCGCAGTGGGCATAGTGCTCCTCCACTTTGCATCAGGTAACACGGGCTCTCTTAATTCTAGGATTTGTTTTCTAAAGTCAAGTTTTATTCTATTTAGCCATCTTGACCTAGTCCAGATAGTGCTGTGAGGTTCATTTTGTGTGGTCTATTTAGTTCACTTTGTGATTTTTATTTGACTCCAGATTCGACTTATTATAGGTTCTATGCCAATGGGCGACACGTACTGTCTGCTGGTCACGATCGTGCCTTCCGTCTTTTCTCAGTCATCCAGGTTGGTATCAATTCTTGATAGGAGGCTTTGCTTAAAGTAATGCTTGAATATGCTTTTGACTCTTCTAACTACATTTGTTATATGCTGCTTTTTAGAAAATATCTTTCTTTCTTTGTTTGTGGGCATAAGCTTTCGCAAAGTTACATCTTTTTTGGTGGTGATGGAGGAGGATAGATGCTTCCCCTCTTCTGTCCCTGTCTTGCCTCTGTTTCTTTTCATTGACTAACACATCTACTTGCAATCTGACACTTGTGTGCTCCCTATATACATTTTTGTGTCTATTGTAGCACACAAGTTTAGGCTTCTACTTTTCGTTTTTTCTAAATTCACTTTCTAGTTAGCATTGCTGGAACTGTTTCACTTGTTATTGTATATTCGCTTTTCAGGATCAGCAAAGCAGAGAGCTTTCTCAGCGACATATATCAAAACGGGCAAAAAAACTCAGGTTGAAGGTAAAGAAAGAGAGGCTTGGTTATTGTTTAAAAGATTATTTATCTTGAGAATGAGTTTACTAAAGATATAGCTAGTGTTTTGTGGATGACTTTTATTTCATCTGTACAAATTTGTTGTTCATTTCTGTGTTCTGTACATTGTGTATTTTAATTATTTGTTGGATAAACTGAAAATTGAGGGACAAATAAGGTATTCAATCTTTGTTTGAAATTTTTTAATAAGATTAATTTGGAATTCCATGTGTCTCATCGGTTGGAAACTGTAAAGGATGACTAAGGCACATCTTCAAGGTAAAAAAATTACAGTTGGGATTTGAAAATATGGGAAATTAACAACGAGTTTTTGTATCATTAGAAAAAAGATCAACAGGTGCAGTAATAGCAAGAAAACATTTGATAGATAAGGTTGAACTACTATGCTGGCGCTTGTAAGGAAGTTGCAGATTTTCTAATATTTAAAACGACTGATATTTTGTCTGGTCATTGACGCAGAACATGAACAAGCTAAGCTGGAACTAGGAAAATAGTTTTTTTAGTATAATAAATATGTAATTTTTGTATTTCTCTATGTTCTCACATTAGATAGGCTATTTAGGATGTATATAGGCCAGTTAGCTCTTTAATCTATTTGGACATATTAGCTAGGTTTTGCGTCCTTTCTTCTATCCTTTCCTTGATTTACAATTCCTCTTTCCATTTTTTTTTAATTTTTGGATTGGAAAAGAAGTATTAGGAATAAGAAGGAATAAATTATACTGGAAGAGAATGAGATTTTTGGCCTGGAGAATTGAAACAGAAGAACCCCAAAGCAAAAAGAAAATACAGAATTGAGTGGCAACTGAATCCCCGAAGATCAAAATATTGTTGCCCCCCAATTCCTGTTATGAAAGGAGATATAAATTTCCAAAAATTTTCCATTAGCCTTAGCTCGTATTGAGACCAAATGTCACCTTCTTCCACGAAAATTGATTGGGAGTGATCGCTCTTTGGAAAACATGTGATTCTTTTCTAGTCATGAGGTCCATAACTCATAAATAGAGCACCCTGCCTCTCCAATTCCTGTAAAGAAAGGAGATAGAAATGTCTGAAAAAATTTCCCATTAGCATTTGATCTAATGAGCAAAAAATGTCATCTTCTTCCATAAAAATTGAATTGGGAGTCCTGGTCTTTGAAAACCATGTGATAGCGATAAGGGCCATAAACCTGCAAATAGAACACCCTGTTAAAGAGGTTTAGCAACTTTATTCTGACCCCTTCGCTGTGTATGTGAGAATTCATCAAACACTTTAAAAAGTGTTTTTTTTGAGATAAAAACACTTAACAAAGTGTGGCGTGAGCCATGTCATACCTATTTCTTTTCCATAATAATGATAACAATAATAATAATAATCATAATAATAATAATGATGGTAATTTATAATCATGATTGATTGGTAAATATTTGTGTACATGGGTTTGCACCCCCCTCGGTGCTTATAGTTAATGATAATTTATAATTTTGGGTAATTTGGAAAGAAAGAAATGCTAAAGCTTTTGAGAGGGTAGAGACTAACTTCGGTAACATTAGAGATGGATGAATACATACTTTTGGATCTATTTCGTTGGATTATGATATTAAAGATATTGATGATATGGGTGCGGTCATCGATCACTTGATAGAATTGTAACTATTTTGTATACGGGTGGTACTCCCTTGGTACCTTGTGCATAATAATACTTCACTTTTATTTTTTAAAAAATAATTTATACTTTTGATTTCAAAAAAGAAGATCTCCTTTCGTTTGTAATAAGGTGTCACTTGGTTGTTGCTTTCTTTCTATTAGTTTTCCTTCATTGATGAGAAAACAAGTGAAATTATTAAAATTCCTTCATTCTTTTTATTTCAGAAAAAAAAAATTGCTTCATTTTTATGAAAGGAACTCTATAGCTTATATTGGTGTTCAGTTGTTCGATTCTGTTGTGAACTTTGTGCTGAATGCTACTATAAGCAGTGCCATCAATGGTATTAGACCTCGTTAATGTGTGTTTATTGCAAAAGAGGGACCCGTTTCTTGTGTAGTTCTTCAAGATTTGTTTGTTTCCCTCCTTACCTTATGTTGTCTCTTAAAATGGTTCCTTTAGGTAGTTATATCAAAGACAATGTAGCATAGTTTTTTTTTTTTAATTAACAGATTCTTCTTGCACGTAAATCATAATTTTTATTGGAGTCTTCAAGTAGTGCTATTTTATCACCAAGAGCAATTTCAATGAGATACTGGAGGAAGATATTGTTTTTTTCGGAGGAGAAGAGGAAATTTTTTTTAACTATTTTGTTTGTCCCTCTATTTTCAGGAAGAAGACCTGAAATTGAAGCCTGTTATTGCATTTGACTGTGGTATGATCTTCACCTAAGAATTCTTCATTATTTGGGATTATAGTATAGTGTCTTCACATTTTAAACCCATTTTACAGTTAGATAATTCTGAGTTTAAAGGTCTCACAGAATTTGCTGTAGTGGCAAAGAAAAAAAAAGATGCACAAGGCATTTTTGAATAATGGAAGAGAGCATTGAATTTGTATTATTATTTGTTGGAAGGATTTTGCATGATTACGGGGCCAAGCGTCTGGATATTAGAGGGAATTTTAGGTTCTTAACCTTGATTTTCTGGAATATCTAGCATTGGCATTGGAGGTAAGATTTCATGATTCAAGTTCTGGGGGACCTTTGCTCAACAAATGACATCAGTTTCAATGTATTTAATTCTCTTATAAAAACTGGCTCTGAAACAGTGCAGACTGTTGCTTGGCTATAATATAGTAGCGCTGTGGATTTCAGTTGTGGAAAGCCAAGGTTGTGAAGTAAATGTTTTAGTCTAATCAGTTCACAAGTAGCATGAACCATGGCTTGATATTCTGACTCGAAACTAGATCTAGTAACTATTGTCCTGTATCTTGCTCTTGCAAGGCACTGGGTTACAGCCCCAAAAGGTATAATAACTTTTAGTGGATCTACCTGGAACCAGTTCAATCAACATCTTTGTACCCTTGGGTGAAAGTATGGACATGATTATAATAGAGTAATCCACGAGCTAGTGATGTGCACAACGATATTTCCTGATGATTTATGAGGAGAATATACAAAGTGACTCAACTCTTGTAGATAATGGTGTTTTTTTGGGCAAAACAGTAACATAATTCAATTTGTCAACCAACTTCTTATCTGCATTGGGGTTGTCCAATAACTCACCTTCATATGTAGCTAGTTTAACATTAAGATTCGTATCAGTATAAACTAGCTTAATCTTATCATCCATGGCTCATTCAAAACCTCAAGAACATATTCTCTTAGTGGGAAAGAAATTCTTGATATCTATCTGGTTTTGGAGACATTGATATCCTTGAGATACCTTAGAGGACCCAAGTTTTAGTTTGAAGGAAAAGCTTGAACTCTTGACTGTAAACTTGGTAATCTTCGGCTATGTATCGTTCCTTGAGACAATCAATAGGCCTATATGGATAAGCTTTTACAATGAGTACTTAGTGATGCTTGTCAATAGAGCTCTTGTGCAGAAGATCAATCAAATCTTAGGTATTATTCCTTTTCATCTTCGTTTGTTGCTTGTTATTGACATGGATGAGGAAGAGTTTTCATAATGCACTTAAGATTATAAATAAAGGATTAGGAGCTGATCAATAAAAAATAAATATTTTATAAAAAGTGCTTGGTAGGTGATTGCAAGAAACAAAGTCATAGATATATTGAAAGGTACAAGATTTTTTAACTTCTCAAAGAGCAATGGACAAGTTAACATTAGTTCTTGAAGGATTGGACGAGGAAATGATTGAGGAAGTATATGTTTTTTGTGACTATCTACTATTGTTCGAGAGTATAAACTTCAAATTGGCATGAGCCAAAAACTAGCAGGTTCAGGGTTAGAAACTTGATTGGCATTAGAGACATGTTCACCAACAATAATAGATGGTAGAGGAAGACGATGGTCTTTTGAGATGAAAATATGTTATGATATATGCTATATGACCTCAATAGAGTGCCGACCCATGTATAAAAAATATTTATATGTGAAGATTCTGGAGAAAAAATCATAATTTTATTTCTCAACTTTTAGGTTGTTACATTTAAGATATTTATTGAATTTTTAACCTACTAATTAGAAAATAACTATTCTATTAGAATTCTAATTACATAATATTACTATTTTAGTAGAATTCTAATTACATAATACGAAGTAATTAAAGAATAAAATATCATATTCAACAATATGTCAATAAGAAAGTCAATGAGGTACCCAAAATTCTCCGCTATGTATAGAGGATGACCTATTACCAAAAAATTAAGAGTTTGGAGTTATTTACCTCTAACCCTATCAAGATCATCTTTCATGGCCTCAAAAGCTTTCATGTTCCTCTCTTTTTACATCATCCAAAAGATAGCAAGAGGAATGAGACTGACACTATTCTTCACTCTAGTAATACCCATTGAGGCCCAAACCTCTTTTCTTACTGATCTTGCCATCCCCCAATTGATCCCTAGTAGCCTATAGGTGTCCATAACTTATATGCATGTGAGTACCAAAGAAGGATGTGATTACAAGACTTCACTTCCCTCTTGTAGGGAAAACGACCGTTCACCTAAATCTTTTTCCTCCTCATCAGCTTGTCAATAGTAAGGATACACTCATGACCTACTTCTCACGCAAAGAAAGCAACTCTTACTAGAACATTAACTTTCCAAAGTTGTCGAGAAAGAAAACTGGTCATCATAGTATTGTTCTTAATTAAAAATTTATCGAAATACTTAATCGAGAAAGTCCCTCTGGTATCAAGTCTCTAGATTGGTTGGTCATTACTACCATTAATTCTTGTAGAGGAGAGTGTATTAAGAAGAGTCTCATAATTATTTGGATTCCTTATAACTTCCATATGCTATACTCCTATTCCCCTCGGTTGTCTCGGAAAGACTCAAAACTTGTGACTTCTTTGTGCCGTGCTATAACATAGATATGGGGAAACTGATTTCTGAGTGAGCCCTCTTCAATCCAAATGTCATGCCAAAAACCGATTTTGTCCCCATTATCAATCCTCTACCTGATATTTTTTTGGAATTTATTCTTGTTCCTTGCATATTTTATTTCCATATCCCTGTCCCATGCAGTCTAGTCAATACTTAGGGGAACCACTCCCTATCCGCGGTACCGAAGTTTGCCGCAATCCCCCTCCTCCATAAGATATTGTTTTCTTTCATGAATCTTCTTAGTCACTTACCATGTAGGGGCAAATTCATCTCCACTAAAGTTCGCTAAAGGAAGACATTAGTTATGGTCATTAATGGTGTGATTAAATTGAAGAAGAGGGTAAATTGAAAAAAGTTGTGAGATTGGCACGCGTCTTGAATCTATATGATTCACGACTATAACATCATCCATTACGAATGTAATGTCCTGACTCAATGTTGATGGGTACAGACGTTTGCACGCTATTTCCAACTAGTGGAACCAATAAAAATGTAATTACATGCAATGACACTACACATTATTACACATCATTTGTGATGGAATCATTAATATAATTTGAAAATACATGAGGCATCCAAAATTAACTACAGAATGTTAATCATAAATTAATTTCTATTTATCGTACAAGTTTAAAACTGAAAAGCTAAAAGGTTTTCTTCAATGTCTCTTATTAATCCAGAGCTTGTCTTGATCTTCCCGGATCTAAAATGTAGCATGAAATTGAGATGAGTTTTACGAACTCAGTAAGGAGTATTTTATAATAAAGACTTACAACACACATTCGCACAAAAATACATAAAAAGAATGCAATTTTAAGTTAAAGAAAATATCAAACAAGATATCAAAACAAAACTTATTTTATTCTTATTTCTCCTATTCTGAATCTTATTCCTAATTCCAGATCACGCTTTTCTTTTTATTTGAATATGTTATTAATCTCTTTGATTTCTTGTGTCTATTCACCGTTATTGCCAATATCTTTTGTTACTTGAATACTTTCTTATCCAAGTCTTATTTTTCCAAAATTTTACATATTCACACTGATTTACATATATTGCACAAACGAATTCTTATCGGATTCATATATACACACACACAAAAACATATTCATATAACTTGAATTTCACATTTTTACATACTTATTTAGGGTTTTCATCACACTATGCCATTTATATTGTTATCAAGGATAGATGATCAGGGTCCCCTCACTATATGATAGCATTAGTCAAAGTAGTGCATTCGCTAGGTTACCCCAAACACATTACACACATACCTATCCATGTTAGGATATACGTTTCATATCTCTATCCATGAGTGGGTTCACCACACTTCCTGTTGAATTACAACCACATACACACACTCCTCTCCTCAATTTGCGACTAAACAAATTAGGTATTTTATTTATTATTCGCAATTTTTTTTCTATTTTCAAAAGTTTCTCTCGCTCTTCTTCCTACTTATCACACAAATTATGTCCAAATTTATTTGAATTCTTCATTTCAAACTATTTTGTGTACGTAGATTCTTTGAGTCTTATTTATCTTAACTTTTTGACGAACTTATAACTTTTCTATCTTTTTGGTGTTTGCTTTCTAGATCTTTCAAATTATTCAATTTTATTTTATTAGGGTCATCTAATTATGTTCAAGGACACTATTCTTTCTTATTCCAAAATTCTCGATTTTCTTTTTATTCGAATATGTTACTAATCTCTTCGCTTTCTTTTTTCTATTTGTCACCAATTTCTTTTCTTACTTGTATCCTTTCTTATCCAAATCTTATTTTCCAAAATTTCACATATTCATATTAATTTACATATCTCACATAAACGTATTCTTATCATATTCATACACACACACATATTCATATAATTCGAATTTCACATTTTCACATACTTAGCTTTTTAAAGCTTATTTTGGATTTCCATCACGCGATGCCGTTTATATCATTATCAAGTAGAGAGGATTAGGATCCCTTCACTAGATGGATAACATTCACACATCACATATTGACCACAACAGTGCATTCGCTAGGTTACCCGGAACATATCACACACATACCTATCCACGTCTGGATTAAGTTTTATTTTTCTGTCCATGAGTGGGTTGACCACACTTCCTGTTGAATTGCAGTCACACACACACACACGCTTCCCTCCTAGATTCGTGACTAAATGAGTTATGTGTCTATACACTCTCACATAACAATTTTTTTATATATATACGTATACATATATTAATATACACTCACATAATAGATATTCTACACGCATATATACTACCCATAAGATATATACTTAATACACACGCACACAAGATACATTTACTTGTACAAAAGCACGCAGACAATTTACACACATATA